ACCAAAAAGGCCCTGTCCTCCAAATGTAGGCCTCTCCCGAAGATCTTATGTGTGGGGGGAAGAGCTATTGCTATTTCCCCAATGTCTGGGCAAATAGAGCCCTGTTTGCAGAAGGGCTGCAACAAGTGTACTTCTGATGAGAAGACATTACTGACTGAAAAGCTCCTCATGATCCTCAACTCTTTGACGAAGTAACAAACCGATTCAAGAATGGCAAAATTTGCAAGGTTTGCAGTAGCAGCTCCCTTTTTGGCAAGGAGCCGTTTCCAAAACATGGGAAAAGGCACCCTATCTAGCATTTGCTTTTAAAATGTTCTTTCACTTTGCAAAAAAGATCATTGGCTTCTGCAGTTCACTAACTGGGAGTGCTACTTAAAGCAAGAGGCCCCTGCGCTCTTTGGCGGAGAAGGCTAAGGACCTTGGGAAACTACAACTCCCAGGGCTGCACAGCATTGAACCATGGCAGTTCCAACTGCTGCCAAACAGCATTCATTCCACAACGTAAAACCAGCTAAAAGAGGCGCAAGTCCTTGGGAAACTACAACTCCCATGATTCCATAGCATTGAGCCATGGCACTTAAAGTAGGGTCAAACTGCAGTCATTCTACAGTGCAGATGCACCCTAAGTTAATGAACATAGCCAGTCATGGTTCTCAAAATTTAAATTATGTATTATGGATTGTTGTTGTTGTCAGAAGTTAAATTATGTATGTATGTATTATTATGTGTTGTTTTGTTGTTGTTGTTGTTGTTGTTGTTATTATTATTATTATTATTATTAGGCACAGTTTAGGATCACCTCTTTCAAATAAACCTTTATTTAAAAATAAAGGTAAAACTTTTGCAAACTGGGTTTCTACTGTGACAAACATAGGCCTTCACTGTATTCTACTTTTGGGCATTCAGCCTCCCCAAAAATTCCTCAAATTAATAAAAAAAATATGACATTAACACATGTAACCAAGTGATACCAGAGTGTATTCAAGACAGAAAAAAGTTATTAATGAGTGCGTATGAGGGAAATGTCATTAATTAGTTATTAATAAGGGGAGAAGGTATTAATGAGGAAAAACAGACAATCTATATTTTTTATTATTATTATTATGTTGTCGTTGTTGTTGTTTTGTTATATACATTGATATCCTGCTTCTTCTCTCTCAAAAGCGACTCAAAGCACTAAAAACACCACAAGGAACAAATTAAAACCTATACACAGTAAGATAGAATGAGACCAAGAACTACAAAAATACGTAGATATTCTATTAATATACTGGTACTGTATATAAAACAGTTTAGGAGAGGTTGGGGTAGTTTGCTTTTACAGGAGCCAATGTAACAAAGGCAAGACTTTGCAGATTGAACTCATCTATATTTGTAATTTGAACTCAGCTCCATTCGCAATTTGAACTCAGCTATATTTGCAATTTAAATTCAACTCCATTCACAATTTGTACTCAGCTATATTTGCAATTTGTACTCAGCTATATTTGAAATTTAAACTCAGCTCCATTTGCAATTTGAACTCAACTATATTTGGAACTTGAACTCAGCTCCATTTGCAATCTGAACTCAGTTTCATTTGCAATTTGAACTCAGCTATATTTGCAATTTGAAATCACTTTGCAGCAATGCAAGAAAGCTGGAGACAAAGGGGGGAAATGGGAGAAAGCAAGAGGAAACCAGGACCTTTTAAATATGCCCTAATAGATAGGATGGCAAAGGAATAATGTATTCATTTCAACTGGCTTTGGGTATGAAGTGCTTCGTTTGATACGTATATACCTCTTGCTACAATCTCTCAGAAATCTCACTTGCTTTTCTTCCATTCATACCCTTACTATTTTACGCCTCCTGATGCCATTCCGTTTTGGGCACTTCCCCAAAGAGCCACATCCATGCATTCAAGCCCACAAGATTATTCTCTCTCTGGCCATTTCCCCATCATTTCTGAGCTTAAGAGAGGGCCTCTTCGGAGGGACTAGAAATCCTAGCATTGCCGAGGGATTCTGGATTTGTCGCTCCCTTCTCCAGAGCTGTGCATGTCGCACCATTGCATTAACAAATACTCTGTGATTTAATAAATAGTATCTATTTTAATGATTATAGAGTGTGTCTATCCATTTCTTATATAAAATGTATCTAAACTGCTTTATAAACCGTAACCCTGCAGATATATTCCCCAGAGAACAAAAAAGCTGGACAAACCCCTCTGGCCATTTCCCAAGCCAGGTAAACATCGGGTGCATTGTTTTTATTTACGCAAAGATAGGTGACTTCCCATGTCAGTCCAGATAAGCCCAAGACATTAGCAAATATTCAGTGATGTAATAAATAATATCTATTTTAATTATTATAGAGTGTATCTATCTATTTCCTATATAAAATGTATCTAAACTGTTTTATAAAACGTGACCCTGCAGAGATACTCCCCAGAGAACAAAAAGGCTGGACAAACCCCTCTGGCCATTTCCCAAACCAGGTAATCATTGGGTGCATTGTTTTTATTTACGCAAAGATAGGTGACTTCCCATGCCAGTCCAGATAAGTTCAAGACATTAACAAATATTTTGTAATTTTAATCTATGAGGTGCCCATAACACATTTCGGGTTGAGGCTTGGCATCGAAATATCTCATTATACTAGCATTCCAACAATCTAAAGTGCTTCTGGGTCCCAAACGTTTTGGATAAAGGATGTTCATCTGTCGTGGAAGAGCCACATGGGAGGATTATGGGAGACGTCGTGTCCAAACTACGCATCCCAGGATGCCCTGGGGGAAAGGGACCCCTCCCCGTTAATCCCGTTTAAACCCGTCTTGCCAATAATCCCGCTGAAAACAAGATAGAAAGTCGGTCGCGGAGAGGTCTTTTCACACCCAGATGGGCAGACGGCTGGGCTGGAAAATCCCTTTTTATGGTGTCAAGAGCAGCGGTCAATACATACATCACCCAGAAAGGAAAAACAACAACAACGCTGTGTCTCCATCCCAGGCATAAAAAGCACAACAAGAACCATCATCCATGGTGCCTTTAGAAACACCCAAGAGCCTTCCATCCAAAACAAAGAGCATCCTCTGCCACAAATATCAAGAGTTTTGCCCAAAGGTTGGAGGCCACTATTTTGGCATGACGCAATATATTTCAGGTCCATTCCACCAGATTAAGGCAACCTTTGGCCCAATAAATCTATTGGTCCTAGAAATCCCAATTAGCCGGAGGACCCATATTTTGCACAGAGTAAGCCCAAGGCCTGTTTGTTCAAATCCATCCATTGATCAGTAATCTAAGTCTGAAGATTTTGGGATGGCTTCGGCCATCGAACGCTAATCTCCATTCAAACCTTCAGATCCATTTCTCACTGAACCAGGAATTTATCCCCAAAGATTTGCAAATTCCAAACATTTAGAGAGTCAACATATTGCAAACACAGATTTAGTGGGAGACCACAAGCCAATAACTCAAATGCATCATCAATGATCTTCCTCCCAAGATTCGGATCGATTTGGCCATTGATTGGGAATCTCTCTCCAAAGATGTGGCAATGGCAACCGACTTCAAGCAGCCAAGAGGGAATCAACACGTCTGTTTTCTTTGCTTTCTAATTCCCTTCTGATAGTAAACCTAGGCCCCTTCCACACCACACAGTTATAGCACTCTGAGACCACTCTAACTCCCACGTGAGAGGTCTAGTTTCAGAAATTGGAAACTACACATCCCAAGGAAACTATGGCCCAACAACACAAGGCAATGTACCCCGTCTCCTATTGCAAACTTAGGGCCATTCCACACTACATCATTATAGCACTTTGATCCCACGTTAGCTCCCCCTTCACGAAATTTGTAGTTTCAGTCTCAGAAAACTACAAATCTCAGGCAGTTCAAGTGAGATGCACACACTCCCCTACAGAACAATGGGGCTCAGGGGTTTCAGGGGCTCAGGAAGCTACAAATTCCAAGGTCCCACAGTTCAAGTGAGATCCATATATTCCTTCTAAAGAACAATGGGATTTATAGTTTCAGGAGCTTCGAAAATTACAAATCCCAGGGACCCACAGCAGTTTAGGTGAGATCCACATACTCCTCCTACAGAACGATGGAATTTATATTTCAGAGGCTTGGGAAACTACAAATTTCAAGGTCCCACAGTTCAAGTGAGATCCATATATTCCTACTAAAGAATAATGGGATTTATGGTTTCAGGGGTTTCAAAAATTACAAATCCCCGGGGCCCCACAGCAGTTTAGGTGAGATTCACATACTCCTCCTACAGAACAATGGAATTTATAATATCAGAGGCTTGGGAAACTACAAACTCTGGGTTCAATTGCAGTTCAGGTGAGGTCCACATATTCCTCTTACAGAATGATTGGAATTATAGTTTTGGCAATTCAGAAAACTACAAATTCCAGGGTTCCACATTACTTCAGGTGAGATCTATATACTCCTGCTACATAACAATGGGATTTATAGTTTCAGGGGCTTCGAAAACTACAAATCCCAGGGCCCCACAGCAGTTCAGGTGAGATCCACATACTCCTCCTACAGAATGACAGAATTTATAATTTCAGAGGCTTGGGAAACTACAAATCCCAGGGTCCAATGGCAGTTCAGGCGAGATCCACATATGACTCTTACAGAATGATGGGAATTATAGTTTCAGTAATTCAGAAAACCACAAATCCGTAGTAGTTCAGGTGAGATCTACCTACTCCTGCTGCAGAATGATGGGATTTATAGTTTCAGGGGCCTGGGAAACTACAAATCCCAGGGTCCCACAACAGTTCAGGAGAGATCCACATATTATTGCTAAAGAATGATGGGATTTGTAGAGATAAGTAAACATAACAATAATATTTTCACAGGTTCGAAAAAACAACAAATTCAAGGGTCACACAGCAGTTCAGGTTAGTTCCACATATTCCTTCTGCAAAACGATGGAATTTTATATATTCAGGGGCTGGGAAATACCAGATAATACAAATGATCAGCTGGGGGTCCTACCTTGTCCGCCATGATCATGGACGACCCGCCGTGGATCCCCAAGATGGGGATGAAGGTTTGCGAGGAAATAAAATCCAACATCTGGGCGACGGCCTCCTGGTCGGTGTCGTCCCCGAAGACCACCCCGTGGATCTTGGTGCCGGACATCAGGTCGCAGAGGTTGGTGATGATGCTCTTGGGGTCGGTCTGGTTGACCAGGAGGGGCACCACGTTGAGGTCAAGGGCCAGGCCGGCCGCCTGCTCCCGGGTCCAGAGGCCCCGCACCTCCCGCTCCGAGGCCAGCTGCGTCCGGCCCAGGATGACCGCCAGGTTCAGCACCGTCGGGGAGCTCCTCTTCTCCGCTGCCCCGTGGACCGGGGTCCACTCCGCCGCCAGGAGCGCCTGCAGCACCAGCAGACGCCAGCAGACCTGCGCCATCTTGGCCAAATCCATGCCCTACAGGAAGCGGAGACAGCAGGAGGCAGGGAAAGGTGAGCAAGGCACACAGAGGATGCGCAATCCCCTCCTGGCAGGCAGGAGGGCACCATCCACTCCCTCCCAACAGATGACCATCCATCTTCTACTTAACATGAATCTTTGAATTGAAAGATGCCCCCAATGGCCATCCAGTCCAACCCCTTTCTGCCAAGTAATAGGACACCATCCACTCCCTCCCGACAGATGACCATCCATCTTCTACTTAACATGAATCTTTGAATTGGAAGATGCCCTCAAGGGCCATCCAGTCCAACCCACTACTTCCAGGCAATGGGACACCATGTACTCTCTCCCGACAGAAGACCATCCATCTTCTATTTAACATGAATCCTAGAGTTGAAAGATGCCCTCAAAGGCCATCCAGTCCAATCTCTTTTTGCTAGGCAATAGGACACCATCCACCCCCTCCCGACAGATGACCATCCACCTTCTACTTAACATGAATTTTAGAGTTGCAAGATGCCCTCAAGGGCCATCCAGTCCAACCCGCTTCTTCCAGGCAATGGGACACCATGCACTCTCTCCCAACAGATGACCATCCAGCTTCTGTTTAACATGAATCCTAGAGTTGAAAGATGCCCTCAAGGGCCATCCAATCCAACCTCTTCCTGCCCAGCAATAGGACACCATTCACTCCCTCCTGACAGATGACCATCCAGATTCTTCTTAGCATGAATCCTAGAGTTGAAAGATGCCCTCAAGGGCCATCCAGTCCAACCTCTTCCTGCCCAGCAATAGGACACCATTCACTCCCTCCTAACAGATGACCATCCAGCTTCTGCTTAACATGAATCTAGAGTTGAAAGATGTCCTCAAGGGCTATATAGTCCAACCCCCTTCTGCCAGGCAATAGGACACCATCCACTCCCTCCCAACAGATGACCATCCAGCTTCTACTTAACATTAATCCTAGAGTTGAAAGATGCCTCCAAGGGGCATCCAGTCTAACCTCTTCCTGCCCAGCAATAAGACACCATTCTCTCCCTCCCGACAGATGATCACCCAATTTCTGCTTAACATGAATTCTAGAGTTGAAAGATGCCCCCAAGGGCCATCCAGTCCAACCCCTTTCTGCCAGGCAATATGAAACCATCCACTCCCTCCCCACAGATGACCATCCAGCTTCTGCTTAACATGAATCCTAGAGTTGAAAGATGCCCCCAAGGGCCATCCAGTCCAACCGCCTTTATCCAGGCAGTAGGAAACCATCCACTCCCTCCCCACAAATGACCATCCAGCTTCTGCTTAGCATGAATCTAGAGTTGAAAGATGCCCCCAAGGGCCATCCAGTCCAACCTTCTGCCAGGCAGGAGGACACCACCCACTCCCTGCTGAAAAACCTCCAGAGAAGGATACTCCAGCATCAGCATGATTATCAAACTAACAACAACAACGTTAGAAGCTTGGAAGGGATTTCAAGGACCACCCAGTCCAACCCCCTCCAGCCAGGTCATAGGGCATCACCCACTACTTCTTGACAGACAGCCATCCAGCCTCTGCTGAAAAACCTCCAGAGAAGGAGACTCCAACATCAGCTTCAGTATGATGGTGATGATGATAGATGCTTAGAGTTGGAAGGGAACCCCAAGGGCATCCAGTCCAACTCCTTCTGCCAGGTAAGAGGACACCACCCAAGCCCTCCCAACAGATGGCCATCCAGTCTCTGCTTAAATACGTCCAGAGGAGATGCCACCAGATCCCAAAGCAGCAGCGGATTCCATTATCTATCTTCCAAATCATAGGGTCTTAGAATTGGAAGAGACCCCCAAAGGCCATCCAGTCTAATCCCATTCTGCCAGAAAGGTAGGCACCATCAAAGCCCTTCCGACAGATAACCATCCAGACTCTATTCCAAACCTCCAGAGAAGAAAGAAGACTTCACTGGACTCTTTTCCAGCACTGGGAGCTGGGGGCGTTTAGCTAGAGAAAACACGGTTGAGAGTGCACGGCAAGGTTTAAATTATTAGAAAGCTCATATAGAGGAGGGGACAAGCTAGTTTCCTGCTGCTCTGAGGCTGGAACACAATGGAAATTGCAGCAAAAGAGCTTCCACCTTAACATTAGGAAGAACTTCATAGTGGAAAGATCTGTTTTACAGTGGAATACATTGCCTTCTCTAGAGGTTGTTAAGCTGCATGACCATCTGTCAGGAGGGCTTGAATGGTGTCCTACTTGTCAGAAGGGGATTGGACTGGATGACCCTTGAGGTCCCTTCCAGTTCAGGGATTCTATAGCAATAATCTTTGATAATAATAATGATGATGATAGTGGTCAGGTTTTCAAGCAGAAGCTGGATGGCCTTCTGTTGGGAGGGCTTGGATACTGTCTTCCTGTCTGGCAGAATTTGGGATGGATTGGATGGCCCTTGGAGGTCTCTTCTCACTCTATCATTCAATGGTCTAAGGCAGTGTTTCTCAACCTTCCTAATGCCGCGACCCCTTAATATAGTTCCTCATGTTGTGTTGACCCCCAACCATGACATTATTTTTGTTGCTACTTCATAACTGTCATTTTGCTCCTGTTATAAATTGTAATGTAAATATCTGATATCCAGGATGTATTTTCATTCACCAGACCAAATTTGGCACAAATACCCAATACACCCAAATTTGAATACTGGTGGGGCTGGAGGGTTGATTTTGTTATTTGGGAGTTGTAGTTGCTGCGATTTATAGTTCACCTCCAATCAAAGAGCATTCTGAACTCCACCAACAATAGAATTGAACCAAACTTGGCACACAGAACTCCCATGACCAACAGAAAATACTGGGTTTGATGGCATTGACCTTGAATTTTAGAGTTGTAGTTCACCTATATCCAGAGAGCACTGTGGACTCAAACAATGATGGATCTGGGCCAAACTTGGCACAAAAACTCAATATGCCCAAATGTGAACACTGGTGGAGTTTGGGGAAAATAGACCTTGACATTTGGGAGTTGTAGTTGCTGGGATTTATAGTTCACCTACAAAGAGCATTCTGAACCCCACCAAGGATGGAACTGAACCAAACTTGACACACAGAACTCCCATGACCAACAGAAAATACTGGAAGGGTTTGGTGGGCAGTGACCTTGAATTTTGGAGTTGTAGTTCACCTACACCAGACAGCAGTGTGGATTCAAACTATAATGGATCTGGCCCAAACTTGGCATGAATACTCAATATGCCAAAATGTGAACACTGGTGAAGTTTGGGGGAAACAGGCCTTGATATTTGGGAGTTGTAGTTGCTGGGCTTTATAGTTCACCTACAACCAAAGAGAATTCTGAACCCCACCAACGATAGAATTGGGCCAAACTTGGCACACAGAACCCCAATGACACCCCCTTGCAACCCCACACCAGGGGTCCTGACTCCCATGTTGAGAAACACTGGTTTAAGCAAGGACTGCAGAGAGGCCTTTTCAGAAAGCATCAAGCCTGCGGTGACCAAAAAAAACACTGCCAAGTGGGAGGCAAGTTTAGGCCCTAAAAAGGGGGCAGGAGATAGGGCTGGCTGATGTAACGCATGCCCTTCTTCCTGCCTCTGTTGTTTCCTCTCTCCAAAAAAAGGGACGGGTGCCAAGTGGGGCTGGAGAGCCATCCGTTCACACACTGAAGGAGCTACATTTTGGGAGCAGACGCCAACGCGCCTTTGCCCAAGCTGTTCCTTGTTCTCCCTCCTTTTCCCTCCCAGACTTTTATGGCCTGGCATTGGCATGCGCCTCCATTGGCTCGGCCTGCCTCCTGGGTGTTTGAACTCATAGCCCTTGGCAAAAGGGACATGAGCAGCATGGGAAAGAGGGGGACGAGGAAGATGCCCTGAGAAAGAAAGAAAAATTAAAACCCCCAAAGCGTCTGTCCTGCGGAGATGGTGAGACTGAGGGCACCCCAGAGAAGGTCCCTCTTTGTGGGCAGGCTGGGCTGAAGGGGGTCCCGTCCTTTTCCCATTGGTTGCCCTTGATTTGCAACAAGGGGCTTCTCTGGAGAGACCCTCACCTCCTCTCTCTCTCCCCCCCCCCTTTTCCCAGAGTTCATTTGGATTCCAAACTCAGCCTCGGCTGTTGCAGGGCAGACTCCGTATCCCCCTCCCATTACTACCGCAGTCAGAGAGCGGCCAAGAGACACCCCCCATCCCTTTAAAAAATAAGGCATCGGGGGTCTCCATCCAACCCATCCAACCCTTTGGAATCTATTCTGTCACGTTGGGCTCACTGCAGAGCTCTGGAAGAAACGTGGAGTTATTACATTACTATTATGATCATGTTATGATTATTATATCCCACTTTCCTCGTCAACCAAGGCAACTCAGCGCACTAAAAACCATACCACTTAAATCCAACGACACCAAAACCTTACAATATCAACGCTGGGGACACCAAGTGGGATCTGGCGCAGCGTGTGAACGGTGCAAAAGGTGCACACGTGCTAAAACATCCCAATTCAGCCGAGGCGACATCCACACTGCAGAATGAATGCAGCGTGACGCCACTTGCCCTGGCTCAAGGCTTTAGGATCCTAGGAGTTGCAGTTCGCCCTCACTCGCTGTCAGAGGAGGCTGAAGGCGCTGTCAACCCACAGCTCCCTGGACTCCGTAGCTGTCAGTCACGTCAGTCAAAGCGGTGCCAAACTGCATTTGCCCAACAGGGTAGATGCACCTTGTGCCTCGCTTGTGCCGAACGCTTGGGACCAGAAGTGTTTTGGGTGTCAGGTTTCCAAATACCTGCATATGCACTGAATGAGATGCCTTGGAGATGAATGGCTTGGAGGGAATATAAAAATCAGGGACTGGACCAAAAGTCCAGTTTTGAATTGCCTACCTATGCGTATAGTGAGATCTCTTATAGACATCTCAATAGTCTATAAGACTTCCTCAGATCCAGATCTGAATTGGGTGAAGTGCTTCGGAAATCAGATTTTGGAATGCCCGTCTATGGATATATATTTTTCATGTCAGGAGCGACTTGAGAAACTGCAAGTTGCTTCTGGTGTCAGAGAACTGGCCGGCTGCAAGGACGTTGCCCAGGAGATGAGGCTTTTCTCATGTCCCGGCATGGGAAACTGGAGCTGACAGATGGGAACTCACCCCAGTCCCCGGATCTGAACCGCCGACCTTTTGGTGAGCAGTCATGCCGGCACAAGGGTTTAACCCATTGCCCAAGTCCAAATGGGTTTGAATGAAACGTCATAGAGACATCCCAGTATGGAATGGGACCCATGTGGGAAAACGGGGGAACCAGAAATGTTTTGGAAATTATACATGGGTATAAGGAGGCATTTTGGAGAGGGAGACCCATTCTGAAAATATTGGGGGAAAGGCTTTTTTTAAAAAAAGGACTGATTTTGGAATTCCTGGTTGTGTTTCGAATGAGATGGAGCCCCCAGTGACGCAATGGGTTAAACCCTTGTGCCGGCAGGACTGCTGACCGAAAGGTCGGCAGTTCGAACCCAGGGAGCAGTGTGAGCTCCCACCTGTCAGCTCCAACTTCTCATGAGGGGACATGAGAGAAGCCTCCCACAGGATGGTAAAACATCCTGGCATCCTCGGGGCAATGTCCTTGCAGACGGCCAATTCTCTCACACCAGAAGCGACTTGCAGGTTTTTTTTCAAGTCACTCCTGACACGAAAAATCAAATGAGATTCTGGAGACATCCCAATTCGTCTTGGGGGTAGATTCTGGAATACTTGACTGTGAATCGAATGAGATGGAGACCCCCCCTCCCCATGGCGCAATGGGTTAAATTCTTGTAGCAGGAGGACTGCTGACTGAAAGGTCTGCAGTTTGAATCCGGGGAGCAGGATGAACTCTTGTCTGTCAGCTCCAGCTTCTCATAAGAGAAGCCTCCCACGGGGTGGTAAAACACATTCGGGCATCCCCTGAGCAACGTCCTTGCAGACAGCCAATTCTCTCACACCAGAAGCGACTTGCAGTTTTTTCAAGTTGCTGAGATCTTGGAAACATCTCAATTTACCTTGGGGCAGATTTTGGCGTACCTGGTTGTGTATGGAATGAGATATTGGAGACATCCCAAGTCAGTTTAGGGGCAGATTTTGGAATACCRGGTTGTGCACGGAAAGAGATGGAGCCCCCAGTGGTGCAATAGGCTAAACCCTTGTGCCGGCAGGACTACTGACCGATAGGTCTGTGGTTTGAATCTGGGGGGGGGGGTGGAGTGAGCTCTTGCCTGTCAGCTCCAGCTTGGGGGCYGATTTTGGGATACCTGGTTGTGCATGGAATGAGATCTTAGGGACATCCTAATTCAGCTTGGGGGCAGATTTTGGGATACCTGGTTGTGCATGGAATGAGATCTTAGGGACATCCTAATTCAGCTTGAGGGCAGATTTTGGGATACCTGGTTGTACATGGAATGAGATCTTGGGAGACACCCCAATTCAGCTTGGGGGCAGATTTTGGGATACCTGGTTGTGCATGTAATGAGATCTTGGAGACACCCTAATTCACCTTGGGGGCAGATTTTGGGATARCTGGTTGTGCATGTAATGAGATCTTGGAGACACCCCAATTCAGCTTGGGGGCAGATTTTGGGATACCTAGTTGTGCATGGAATGAGATCTTYGAGACACCCCAATTCAGCTCGGGGGCAGATTTTGGGATACCTGATTGTGCATGGAATGAGATGGAGCCCCCAGTGGCTCCATCTCATTCAATGGCAGGACTGCTGACTACGTTTTGAATCCGGGAAGTAGAGTGTGCTCCCGCCTGTCAGCTCCAGCTTGGGGCCATATTTTGGCATACCTGGCTGTGCATGGAATGAGATCTTGGGAGACATCTCAATACAGCCTGGGACTGGGATCCCATTCGGAATAGCTTTGGGGAAGAAACCATGGGGAATGAGAGCGAGAGAGCGTGCCTTCCCAGTGCCTTGCCTCCTTCCTGGCAGGGGTCCCCAAAAGGCAAGGCAGTCTGAGAGCGCCCCTCAGTGGCCAGAGCCCAGTTGGCACCCCTTGCCCAGCCATTTGACACATACACACACACATATATAGAATCCAAGAGAACAAATCTTTCCATGTGTATCCCTCCCCCCTAAAAACCTCCCTATATATATATATCTGTATATAGTCTTACCAGGACGGTGAGTGTGGGTAGCCTCCTCCTCTCCTTGGGCGGTGGCGGCAAAGTTGGGCATGTCGCAGGCGGGCTCAGGAGCGGGGCTCACGGGGGGCTGCCATCTTGGGGGGGTGAAGCCAGGCCGAGGGGGCCAGGGGGGCTCCTGGGTGTCCGCTGCAGCTGCTGCATGGCCTCCTCGGGAGGAGGAGGAGGAGGAAAAAGAAGAGGAGGAGGAGGAAGGCCAGGAGGAGGGAGGCCAAGGCGAGGAGGTGCAGCGGGCTATCCGTGCGAAGGTGGTGGTCTGAGGAGGGAAAGGAGGAGGGAAGGATGGATGGATGGAAGGAAAGGATGCAGCAGAGAGGGAGGAGGAGGAGGGAGAGAGAGGGACCACCGCATTAGCGCGAAAAGCCACCGCCGTGGAAGCCAGAGAAAGAGAGAAACACACACAGAGAGAGCCAGGGACCCCACAGGGGTGGGGAAGGGCAACTTTGGTGCCTGAAAAGAAGGAGTGCGCAAAAAAAGAGAAACACCAAAGAAGCCCACTGGGGAAAAGTTGCCAAAGCGCACTGGATGGAAAGGTCAGGGTGGCCCAATTTAAAAAGAGGAGGGGGGATCTTAAGGGTGGGCTGGTTCCCCCACCTGGGTGCAGGGGTTTCTTGTTTTGGAGAGGGACTTTCGTTCTCCCATCCCATTAGGAAAGGTTCCCTTGTGTGTGGGGAGGGAAGAAGCGGGGAGGCACTCAATGCGCCAAGCAAGTCAAGGGAACCAAGGCACCCCCTGAAAGGCTGCTAAAGGGATTTCAAAAGGTGCAAAAGGGACCTCCAAAAGAGCACCTTGCTCTCCTTTATTCCAGTCTAACGATGGAAGGGTTTGATGATGAATCAATTGCCAGGACTTGCATTTATTTTCTCTTGTTTACTGGGGAGCACTGACTTTGGAGCAAAGGAGAGCAAGAAGAGGCCCCCAATCTCCCCATGAGTGAGAGAGTGAGACACGTCCCTGGTTGATTTGCGCTTTTGGGACTGAATGTCTGCGAGGCATCTTTCCTTCCTTCCACCCCAAAGGAAGCGTTTGTTTTCCCTCCCCGTTTTTGGCCTGAGGGAGACTTCTGGGATCAGCAGCTTCCCAAGCCAGGCTCTTCTTTTTTTTCAGACAGAGAATAGAGATTGGGTTGCTATGAGTTTTCCGGGCTGTCTGGCCATGTTCCAGAAGCATTCTCTCCTGACATTTTGCCTGTATCTATGGCAGGCATCCTCAAAGGTTGTGTGGTCTGTTGGAAACCAGGGATATATATATATATATACACATACTGTGGAATCATGTCAAGTGTGGGAGAAAGAACTCTTGTCTGTTGGAGGCAGGTGTGAATGTTGCAATGGATCACCTTGATTAGCACTGAATGGCCTTGCAGCTTCAAAGCCTGGCTGCTTCCTGCCTGGGGGGGGATCTTTGTTGGGAGGTGTTAGCTGGCCCTGATTGTTTCCTGTCTGGAATCAGGACAATAAATAAAGAGCAACACTTAAAAAAAAAAACAGTCCAAGTGTTCACTGGCCCTGATTATTTCTTGTCTGGAATTCTGCTGGGTTTTTTGAAATAGTATTGTCGAAGGCTTTCATGGCTGGAATCACTAGGTTCTTGTGGGTTTTTTCGGGCTATAGAGCCATGTTCTAGAGGCATTTCTCCGGACGTTTCGCCTGCATCTATGGCAAGCATCCACTACCTCTGAGGATGCTTGCCATAGATGCAGGCGAAACGTCAGGAGAAATGCCTCTAGAACATGGCTTTTTGAAATAGTGTTGCTCTTTATTTATTGTCCTAATTCCAGACAGGAAACCATCAGGGCCTGCTGAGACCTCCCAGCAAAGGATTTCCCCTCCCCAGGCAGGAAGCAGCCAGGCTTTGAAGCTGCAATGCTACTCAGTGCATTGCAACATTAGCACTGCAAAGCCTTGCAAATTCAAAGCCTGGGTGTTGCTGGGTCGCTGTAAGTTTTTTGGGCTGTATGACCATGTTCCAGACGCATTCTCTCCTGACGTTTCACCTGCATCTATGGCAGGCATCCTCAGAGGTTGTGAGGTCTGTTGCTGCCTGGGAGAATCCTTTGTTGGGAGGTCTTAGCTGGCCCTGATTGTTTCCTGTCTGGAATTCCTCTGCTTTTTTTAATTTTTGGAGTGTTGCTCTTGATTTACGGTCCTGATTTGAGAGAACGCTTCAGGAACGTGGCCAGACAGCCGGGAAAACTCACAGCAATTCCAGCCATGAAAGCCTTCGACAACAGGATAGAGATGGCATTTCGTTACATAAAAAAGGGCTGCTGCCAGGCAAGGAAACATCATCGCCGCTGCCGCCGCCGCCCCCTCCCCAGATGCCCAAAGAGCCTCTCAGCCCTGCAGAAAGAAAGGCACCCTCTCTTTCCCCCTTGGGTTGGCTCTCAAGCAAAACAGACACCCTATATGAGATATATAGACATATAGGAGGGAAAAACAAGAGATTATTCACAAACATGACTCACTGCAGTCGACCTCCACATAATTCCAAGCGGAGAGTCTTCCAAGGCATTGCAAAAGGATTCCTGGAGACCCGGCAACAAAAATGCGCCTCGGGGGGCTCCTGCCTCTCCTTTCCTTCCTTCCTTCCTTCTTTCCTTTGGGGCTTTTCTCTCTTCTTCTTTATACCAAGACCTCTTCCTTTCCTTCCTTTCCCTCCTTCCTCTTGAATGTAGAGAGAGATGGAAATGTTTGGCAGGAGAGAGAGAAGGAGGAGGAGGAGGAGGCGACCGAGTGGAAGGATGCGCGCCTTGGTCCAAGCCAGAGATGCTTTCTGGCTCCAGCTGCACCAAAACAAAACCAAAACAAAAAAAAAACCCCACCAGACAAAAACACACACTCCTCCTTTCTTTTCTCTTCTTTCTTTTTCTCCTCCCCTTCTTTCAAGTTTTCTTTTTTTTTCCCCTCCCTCGGGGACAACACCAACAAGGTCCCGCTCAAGATGCGACTCGAGGCGCTTGGAGACGCAATCCAAGCTTGGAAATAGGTCGTTTCACGCAGCGGGGGGGAAAAAGCACGCCTCGGGGATGGGAGACGAGGAGAAGCTGGAAGGAAGGGGGTCTCTTGTCTCCCCAAACGCCCCCAAGGGGGGTTTCCTTTCGCCCGTTTCCAAGGGAGAGGGTCCCAAAGGAGGTGTCCCCCTTCACCTCTCCAAGGCTTCTGGCGCTCCCTTCTCGCCGGCCATCCTCGGCGCCGCGGAGCTCCCACAGGAAGCAGGAAAAGTCCCTCGCAGTCCCCCCGCTCCACCCGCGTGGAGAGGAGACCCACGCGCACGCGCACAGGAGCCTGCTTTCCGTGGGGTTTTTTTTTTCTTCTCTCTCTCTCTCCTTCCCTCCTTCTTTCTTCCCTTCCTCCGCAGCGAGCGTCGTGCCAAAGAGGCGCACAGAAGAAGAAGAGGAGGGAGAGGAGAGGAGAGGCTGGAGCCAGGCAGGCAGGCGCGCGCACGCGGGTGCCCCTCTCCCTCCTCCCTCCCACGCACGCGCGTTCACGCCTCCTCCTCCTCTTCTCCCTCTCTCTCTCTCTCTCTCTCCCCCTCCCCTTTTTGCGCGCCCACACGCAGCCCTTTCCTTCCCTGCTTTGAGAAGACAATCAAGAGATGGAGAAAGGAGAGGGGGCACTTTGGGCACCTTTGGGGTGTCCAGTTGGGATGGCTTCTTGGCCAGGTTCTTCTTGGCCAAGGGCTCTGCTCTCTCCCCTCTCTAGAAAGGGAGCAGAAGGGATGCAGTTTTGGCCCCTTGGTTTGGCTGCAATAGAATTTGGGGAGTTTTTTCTTCTTCATGTCAGGAGCGACTTGAGAGCTTCTGGTGTTCATAGAATCACAGAATCAAAGAGTTGGAAGAGTCCAACCCCATTCTGCCAAGAAGCAGGAATATTGCATTCAAATCACTTCTTAGAATCATATAATCAAAGAGTTGGAAGAGACCTCATGGGCCATCCAGTCCAACCCCCTGCCAAGAAGCAGGAAAATTGCATTCAGAGCACCCCTGACAGATGGCCATCCAGCCTCTGTTTAAAAGCTTCCAAAGAAGGAGCCTCCACCACACTCCGGGGCAGAGAGTTCCACTGCTGAACGGCTCTCACAGTCAGGAAGTTCTTCCTCATGTTCAGATGGAATCTCCTTTCTTGTAGTTTGAAGCCATTGTATTGCGTCCTAGTCTCCAGGGAAGCAGAAAACAAGCTTGCTCCCTCCTCCCTGTGGCTTCCTCTCACAAGTGAGGCTGGTGGGGACGAGAAGCAGGGCCTTCTCAGTGGTGACCCCTCACCTGTGGAACTCACTCCCAGGGGAAATCAGAGCATCATCATCCCTCCTCTCCTTCAGGAGGAGGGTGAAGACATGGTTATGGGACCAGGCCTTTGGGCAACCAGGCAATTAAATAAGACAATTAAATAAGACAATCAGACGAGCAAGATCAGCAGGATTGTCGAAGTGGAATCAAAAACAGATCTATGAGTTAGTGAACACTGACAGGGTAGGAGGAAGAATTAGGTTTGTATTGGTTTTATTGATTTGATGGATTTTATTGATTTTATTGGGATAATGCATGAATTGTGGTAACTATTAATTGTTGTAGTTTTGTGATGATTGTTTTGTGTGGCAGGCATCTAAGCGTGCCTTTGCTGCTGTAAGCCGCCCTGGGTCCTCTACGGGGTGAGAAGGGCGGGGTAAAAGAACCCCAAATAAATAAATAAATAAATATACATGGCTATCATATCTCCTCTCATCCTTCTCTTCTTCAGGCTAAACATGCCCAGCTCCTTAAGCCGCTCCTCATAGGGCTTGTTCTCCAGACCCTTGATCATTTTAGTTGCACTCCTCTGGACACATTCCAGCTTGTCAAATATCTCTCTTGAATTGTGGTGCCCAGAATTGGACACAATATTCCAGGTGTGGTCTAACCAAAGCAGAATAGAGGGGTAGCATGACTTCCCTAGATCTAGACACTATGCTCCTATTGATGCAGGCCAAAATCCCATTGGCTTTTTTTTTGCCGCCACATCACATTGTTGGCTCATGTTTAACTTGTTGTCCACGAGGACTCCAAGATCTTTTTCACATACTGCTCTCGAGCCAGGCATGTCCCCCATTCTGTATCTTTGCATTTCATTTTTTCTGCCAAAGTGGAGTATCTTGTATTTGTCACTGTTGAACTTCATTTTGTTAGTTTTGGCCCATCTCTCTAATCTGTCAAGATCATTTTGAATTCTGCTCCTGTCCTCTGGACTATTGGCTATCCCTCCCAATTTGGTGTCGTCTGCAAACTTGATGATCATGCCTTCTAGCCCTTCATCTAAGTCATTAATAAAGATGTTGAACAGGACCGGGCCCAGGACGGAACCCTGCGGCACTCCACTTGTCACTTCTTTCCAAGATGAAGAGGAAGCATTAGTGAGCACTCTGTGTTCGTCCACTTAACCAATTACAGATCCACCTCACCGTAGTTTTGCCTAGCCCACATTGGACTAGTTTCCTTGCCAGAAGGTCATGGGGGACCTTGTCGAAGGCCTTACTGAAATCCAGGTACGCTACATCCACGGCATTCCCCGCATCTACCCAGCTTGTAACTCTATCGAAAAAAGAGATCAGATTAGTCTGGCATGACTTGTTTTTGATAAATCCATGTTGACTATTAGAGAATTGTACTCCATCACACAGGAATAATAATAATAATAATCATAATCATAATCATAATAATCTATACATTTATTTATTATTTTATTATCCCCTAGGACAGTGGTTCTCAACCTTCCTAATACCGTGACCCCTTAATACAGTCCCTCATGTTGTGGTGACCCCCAACCATAATATTGTTTTCGTTGCTACTTCATAACAGTCATTTTACTACTGTTATAAATCATAATGTAAATATCTGATATGCAGGATGCATTTTCATTCACTGGACCAAACTGGGCACAAATACCCAATACACCCAAATGTGAATGCTAGTGGGGTTGGGGGAGGATTGATTTTGTAATTTGGGGGTTGTAGTTGCTGGGATTTATAGTTCACTTATAATCAAAGAGCATTCTGAACTCTACCAGCGATGGATTTGAACCAGACTTGGCTCCCATGACCAATGGAAAACACTGGAAGGGTTTGATGGGCATTGACCTTGAGTTTGGGAGTTGTAGTTCACCTATATCCAGAGAGCACTGTGGACTCATGCAATGATGGATCTGGACCAAACTTGGCACGAATACTCAATATGCCCAAATGTGAACACTGGTGGAGTCTGGGGAAAATAGATCTTGACATTTGGGAGTTGTAGTGCTGGGATTTATAGTTCAATACAATCAAAGAACATTCTGAACTCCACCAATGATAGAATTGGCTCAAACTTCCCACATGGAATTCCCATAACCATCAGAAAATACTGTGTTTTCTTATGGTCTTTGGCAACCCCTCTGACACCCCCTCGCGACCCCCTCAGGTGTCCCAACCCCCAGGTTGAGAAACACTGCCCTAGGGGGACTCAGGATGGCTTCCAATTGGCAACAATTTGATGCTGCAACATAAAATACAAAACAGCAATTATAACAGTAAAAAAACATAAACATTAAGACATAAAAATTAAAACAATATACTAACAGTCCATTGAGCTATTACCAGTCTGGTGACTATTTATCTAGCCATATACTATTGACTTATCCAAAAACACTTCCAAGCCATAGTCAAACATTATAAATTGTCCTTTAACCTAATTGCCCGAAGGCCTGGTCCCACATCCACGCTTTAACCTTCTTTCTAAAGGTAAGGAGGGATGATGATGACCTAATTTCCCCAAGAAGTGAATTCCACAGGTGGGGGGCTACCACTGAGAAGGCCCTGTCCCTCGGTGAGACAGAGGCAGGGCCGAGAGCAGGGCCTCCCCAGAAGATCTTAAACTCCGAGGTGGGACGTAGAAGGAGATACGTTCAGATGTTGGACCGGAGCCGTATAGGGTTTTATAGGTCAAGACCAGCACTTTGAATTGTGCTCAGAATTGGATCGGCAGCAAGTGGAGCTGACACAACAGGGGGGTGGTATGCTCCCTGTATGGGAAGTGTCCGACGGCCAGCAGAGTGATCTTGTCTGCTGTGGACTCATCTTGTTGTCTTTCAAATAGTAAGCATAATAAATATAAATGTAATGTTCGTTTGTGGGATTAATGTAACTAAAAAAAAAACACTGGACGAATTGACACCAAATTTGGCCACAAGACACCTACTAACTCAAGGAGTGACCATCACTCAAAAAATGGATGTTGTCATTTGGGAGTTGTAGTTGCTGGGATTTATAGTTCACCTACAATCAAAGAGCATTCTGAACCCTACAAACAATGGAATTGAACCAAACTTGTCACACAAAACTCCCACAACCAACAGAAAATTCTGGAAGGATTTGGTGGGCATTGACCTTGAGTTTGGGAGTTGTAGTTCACCTACATCCAGAGAGCACTGTGACTCTAATATTCGTGGACCAAACTTGGCACAAATATTCCATTTGCCCAAATATGAGAACAGATGGAGTTTGGGGGAAATAGACCTTGACATTTGGGAGTTGTAGTTACTGGGATTTATAGTTCACCTACAATCAAAGATGACCCTGAACCCCACCAATGATAGAATCCAGATAAACTTCCCACACAGAAGCCCCATGACCAACAAAAAATACTTAAGGCCATCCAGTCCAATTCCCTTCACCAGGGCAAGAAAACATAATAAAAGCCCTCCTGACAAAGAGCCATCCAGCCATAGGTATAGATGGATAGATATGATTCACACACACACAGATATAGTATCATAGATTTGAAAGAGACCCCTAAAGAAGGACAATTAATATGTTGCGTGTTCCAGAGTAGGCAAAGCAGACAATCTCCACATCAACACTGACAAAGAAACAACAAGAAATACTGTTTACCCACAAGCATAAATAAATTACATGTATTAAAAACCAACACTTTCTCATTACTTTATTTTCCAGATCAGCATACTGGGCCACAGCGACACGTGGCAGGGGATGGCTAGTAGTAGTAGTAGTAGTAGTAGTAGTAGTAATAATAATAATAATAATAATAATAATAATAATAATAATACTCAACGACAGATCCCAAATGTAGACTCTGCAAGGAAGCAGATGAAACAATAGATCACATCCTCAGCTGCTGCGCCTGCAAGAAGATCGCGCAGACAGACTACAAGCAGAGGCATAACACCGTTGCTCAGATGATTCACTGGAACTTGTGTCATAAATTCTATTTGCTTGCGACAAAGAACTCGTGGGATCACAAGCCTGAACAAGTTACAGAAAATGAACACGTAAAACTCCTCTGGGACTTCCAAATTCAGACAGAGTTCTGGAGCACAATACTCCTGACCTCACGATCATGTTAAAAAAAATGAATGCTGGTGGGTTTGGGGAGGGGGTGATTTTGTCATTTGGGATTTTTAGT